TATAATATAAAATATAATATAATATAATATAATATAATATTGGTGCTTTTGGGCTTTATTTGGAAAATTAGGGATTTTATTCAAAAATAAAGACTGCTAGGCGGCTTTAAAAATGGAATGCCTATGATCAAAATAAAATATAAAATGTGAAAGAATTCCCTGCATGTGGATATGGGAGCTGTGACTATATTGGATGATACCCATGTTTGCACGAACTCCAATTCCATACACGTCCACTCAGATGTAAGCAAATTAAACTGTAGCCTTTTTCTGTTTCGATATCCTGATTTTGCCATAAGATAAAATAAGTGATAAAGTGGTCTTTAGTGAGCTAGAGATCAATTGCTATCAGATTGCCAGGATAGGAATTAAACACCAAGTGGGTCTTCAATTTGGGGTTTGACAGATGCCAAATAGGATTTCAGACTGTTCAGTAACATCTGGCCTTCTCCAACTTGTCAACTTTCAAATGAATTAGGATTATTCTTTCTAGAATTTTCTGCCAGCAGGGGACCTGGCTGATGCTATTCTCTTATCTCGAACAGTCTCAGCTTCATCAGCCTTACACGGCTCCCCTGGACTTCTGCTTTCATTATGTAAAATAAGCTGCATCTGATTCCTTCTTAAAACCACATGAGGCAGGAGGTGGAATTAAAGTTATAATCAACTGCAGATGAAGAAGGATAAGTGGAGTGAATGATTCATTTCTTGGCTGTAGTGACAAGGCTAGGACAGACAACATAAATACATAGCCAGCTGAATGGATACTAAATAATGTACATATTTCAGTTTTGTTGTGCCAATAACACCTGTACGTAAAGGAAATTTTTCTCAACAACTTGAACACAAGCCATTTGCCTAATGTGGAAGAAGGATAGGAGATCTGGGCAGAGGATGCTCCATGTACCTCCACTGAGCCCAAATAAGTCCCTACATGTGGATATGGGAGCTCTGACTATATTGGACGATACCCATAATGTTTGGCAATTCAAATGCTGAATCAGCGCTGTGGTATAATTTATATTCACAATGCTTTGCGATCACTTATTATAAGTGATAGCAAGCCTTGAGAGTTATAATTTATACTCTGGTTCTAACAGAGTCAGTGCTTGGATTTCTTCCTCCCCAGGCGCATGGCATATTGCAATGAAAATTAGCCAATGGTCTCCATTCCTTTGTGAAATGGGGGCAACCTCAGCCAAAAGAGAAGAGAAGGGAAGGGCATTTTAAATCTTGCTAATTTCTCCATGAAACCGTCACGAACAGAAGCTTTTACTGAGATGTTGCTAAAACGTGTTTCTCATTGTCATTTTGGGCAGTGAGGGAAAGAACAGAAGAAATGACAGGGAAGGTAACTGGCAGGATAAAGATTAAGCATTCTGGTTCCCCATGTAAGCCATCTTGGTTCTGTAGGCTGCTTTACAGGCAAGAGGTAGTTATACTATAAATGGTTAGTGTGGGAGTATACTAAGTTCTGATTTGTTTTTCTTTATAGAATAAACAACAAAAGATGGGTTTGTCCAATGCATTAAGCCATAAAGCATTTCCCAACACATTAAACAAACATCAAAACAAAACACATGACTTACTAAGCCATCATGTCGTTCATTTGGTTTTGGCTTAATGTTTCAGGTGAATCCAGCCATTGAAGTTTGAAAAAAGTGATTTATGGTAGAGATTAGCAACTTTTCCAGGTGTCAATCTCCCTTGGATAGTCTTCCATAATAGTGGAGCACTAAAATGAAAAATTATCAAATCTTGCATCTTTTCAGAACTCTTATCTTGAAATGGCGGTGTTTTCATCTTAGCATCTTAGCTTTCCAGTGCAAGTACCAAAACTCCACAAGTTTTGGTAGTCACACAACATTCTGCCAAATGTTAATTGAACTTTTAACCAAGTATGCTTAATTTGGATGTCTTGGATGCTGTCTATGGAGTTTGTGGGTAATATAGTGCTTATGGATGTTGCACTGTAGATGTCTAATTTATGGCTCAGCGCAACATGTGAAACCAACCATGCCATTTATTTAGCAAATTAAGTTTACGCAAAGGTGGTACATGACCCTAATCAACCTTGTTTCAGTAGTGTTATCTCAGCCTAAACTACCTCTCGTTATTATTACAGGGATAAAACGATATAACTGTTTATGCTGAAGTCTCTGAAGAAATAGTGAAATTAAAATATAAGCATATAACTAGGCCTTGGTTATAGTTTGTCAGTTAGGAATGCCAGTTGTACTTAAGCATCTTTATGTCTGTAATTTCCAGACTGAGCAAAAAGCTCCTCTTAGATGACGACTGGTACTGAAGCAGTGCATTTATAACTAAAGACAATTCTCTTTTTTTGTATCTGTTCTATATTAATCACCCAAGTTGAGCTTACCAATTTTGGGGCATCAGTATCTGTTTTAAAATCACAAGTACATAATTATAATAATATATTGCTATATTTTTCTTTTAAGTTCATAGATGTCCTTCTCTGTGCCTCTCCTGTAACATCCTTCAGAATGGAATGTTTATTGTTATGGCAATCTGTGCTGTTAGTGATTAGTTGTTACAGAGTTTATGCCTTGAGAGGTGGCAAGACTCAAAGACATAAGCTGCCTTGCTTCTTTATCTCTTCCGGCTGTAAATGCACATCCACTTGTTAGAATAACATTGAAGGCCTTGGCTCAACTTGCATATCTACGCTGCTTTGTTTCCTTTCCAGAAAGGTCTCTGTAATGTTTTTATACCATGAGGGATGCCTATTTTGTGGTTTCGCGTTAACCTTTGTGGTTATCTTGCTTCCTTGTAAGTTGTAAAACTATTCTTTCTATATCTAGTAAACCAATTCTTTCTATATCTGGTAAAAACAAGAAAAAAGCACATACAGAAAAAGAAATTCCTGCTAACTGATTACTTTCTTTTTCTGTACCTGCTTTTTTCTTGTTTTTACTACTGTTAATATTGTATGATGCCCAGCGTTTTATGGAGTTGGGCATCTTTCTAAAAGAATTAAACAAACAATTAAATGAATATTCTGCTAGTGTGTGTGCATGCTCAAACTGTTTTCAATCAACTTCCTGAATAAGATTTAAGTGATCTTGTGTCTCTTGCTTTTGGCACTTCTATATGCAAGTGACTCACTATAACCTGCTAGCTTTGGACCAATCAAACCATCATTTGGATCCTTTCCAGTTGTTGGTGAGTTATTTTTGCCACAACAGATATACAGTGGTACCTCAAGTTACGAATGCCCCTCCTTACGTATTTTTCC